GTGTGAAGTTAAGTCATGGATTGAACAGAAATATGAACAATTATAAAATACTTTATTATTTCATAATAAAGTAATTATAAAATAATTTCTTTGTGTTTATTTGATTCCTATTCAAGAGAATTACTTTATATATAGTCAATATAGGCACAGAGGTAAAAATTTTTAACATTTTCTAATGGTGGTGTGCCTCGTGATTTTTTTCATGAAAAAAGTGTGCCTTTGCACAAAAAAGGTTGAAAAACACTGCCTTAGGGAATGGTCAGTCAGCAATTGGGTTTGCCCCCAAAACATGACACAAGGCACTTTGATGCTGTTTACCAATAAAAACGCCTTTGGACTCTTCTTTGTTTGGTAGCACCTCCGTGATTGTCATGAGCAGTCAGTCACTTTACAATGGTCACCACTACTTATAAGCCATATATATCAAACCAAACTGGCTTTTACTTAAAGCAAACTCACTGCAAAGGAGTGCAACTCTTGCTTTATGATCCAGACTTTGCGGTCAGGTAGATGACCTAACCTTTTCTTCACTGAAGTTAAGCAGTACCACTTTTTTGTCAAGGACCCTTCCCGCCTGCAGATTTAAAGCACCCACCAAATCATTACTATGATTTCTACTCCTCTCCGCAATTTACTAGTACTCTGAAATGCTACAGAGACTAATTGTTGCAGAGTGCCGCTCCACCTCCTCCCAGCCTCCAGTGGAGGGAAATAAAGGAAGCAAATACAAAAACAGTTTAAGGTATTTCCTGCCAGCTGTAGTGGTTCTTTGTGAAGCAGGTTGCCCATAACAAAATCATGTCAGTACTCAGTAATGACTTCAGACCCAAAAGCAAACACCTAGTAAACATTATTAAATTTAACTGTAATGGATTTTATGGAGCTCCAAGTGAAGGTAAACTGATTTGTAACTTGGTTGCAAAGTTTGCTGGATAACAGTACCTGGCTGGAGATCCCCTGTAGTGATTAACAGTTGGAGGGAGGAGAAGAGTCTCACAGGGTTAGTCACAAAAGGGTGAAGAGTTTGGAGAAGGCAGGAGAAGTGAACAATCTTGGCCAAAATAGCTGATTTGGAAAAATTCTCCAATTCAGCTCACTTTCCAGTTCAGCTATGTTGTCCTAGGTTGTTCACTTCTCCTGCCTTCTCCAAACTCTTCACCCTTTTGTGAATAACCCTGCCAGTGATTAGTGATGGGCTCGGGCGTGTTCGCAAACGCCTCGTGTCGAGCCCGCCGGGAAGCTGTCAACGCGAAGGGCCAATCACAGGCACTGAGACATTTTCCGATCTCTGCAGCTGCGGACCGGGAACATGTCTCAGTGCCTGTGATTGGCCCCGCGCGCTGAAGGCTTCCTGGCGGGCTCGGCACGAGGCGCTTGCGAACACGCCCGAGCCCATCACTATCAGTGATGAGAAGGTAAGTGGGAAGGGCAGCATGGTCAAAAGGATCTTGCACATTGCCACTGTTTGCTTAAAAGTTATGGGGCTTGTATTTATCCCAATCACAAACTGGGAATCCCCACAGAAAGATGCACGCACAATTTAAGCATGTCATGTGCTTAGGAATCCCTGCCGCCACTCTGCTCCCTGCCGCCTCGAGGCCGGGCCTTGCTTGGAGGTCCAGACTACTGCCAGTCATAGGGCAAATGTGCACACTCCTTCACCGATCCCACAATACAGTACTTGGTGTTTTATTAGGCCTGAGCTGTTTTGAATGTAGGCAGCATTCCTAACCCGAGGCATATAAAGACTATTAGAAATTCAGCATATGCATAATGTCTCCAGAGGGGCTCCATCAGGGCAATGGGAAGGCAGAGTGGCAGTATAAAGGTAACATGCAGCACCATAAGTCAGCATATTAAGTTTCAGCATCCTTGATCATCCATGACCTCAAATATATCCTCAATGCTCAATCCTCAATCTCCCTATCGTTTAACCTGCCCCCTACCCGAATCCTAACACTTTACCTAACCCTAAAAATATGAGCCCTCAGAACCCAAACAGCTGACCCAAATTTGACCCTTAAAGTGGAACTTTACCCCCTTTGACTAAAAATCACATCAGCATACAGCTCTGCATGCTGATATGGAATCATCTCACATTCATTAAATAAACAGACATTATATTTTTCTTTTACTTACAATTAATTTTTTTTACACTTCCGGGTCCACTTTGGCACAAATGATGTAATTGTGCCCAAGCATTAAATCCTGTAGGGATTAGGGAAGTAGGAATGCACCGATATGTCGGCCGCCGAAATATATCGGCTGAAATTTTTTGGCCGATATAGTGGTGCATGCGTAATTTCTCTCGTCCCGGCTGGGCGCTGCTCTGTGTCCCAGCGGGGGAGGAGAGAAACTTTCACAGGGGGTCGAGCACTGCAGGAGGAGAGTGCTACTAGTGGCCAGGGCCTCTCCTCCCCGCACCGCTTAGCCTCCTGTCACAGATCAGGAGAGCGGCAGTGTGGGCGGAGACAGTCATTGCTGTCATATGAGGCTGAGATCTCCTCCCGAACCGCTTGCTCAGCCTCCTGTGACAGCTGTCAGGATGGAGAGCGGGTACAAGCAGTCCGTGATCGCTGAGTGTTTGTAAATAATTGAGGACAGAGTATGGTTACTATATCTTCAATTATGAATGAATAGGAAGTGATCTACATCACCTCCTGTTCATTCATGATTGGTTATAGTAAACACACTCTGTCCTCATGTTATCAATGAATAGGAATACTCAGTATAGAGGATTCCTGTTCATTGATAACAGGGGATACAGAAAAAGACATTAGGGGGAATTAATAAAAACAGGAGCAGACAAAATCTGGAGCAGTTGTGCATGGTAACCAATCAGCTTCTCTCTTCAGTTTGTTCAGTTAAGTTTTGAAAATGAAAGAGAGAAGCTGGTTGGTTGCCGTGCATAAAAAGTTGATAAAAATAAATAAAAATAACATATTTTTAAAAATGTGAAAAAGTTAGAATAGAAAATAGTTTTGATTTTGGTTTCGGCCTGACATTTTTTTTTCATTTCAGTTTCATTTCGTTTTTGTTTTGACATTTTCGTTTCGGTGATCCTGTACTGGGAAGGTTACATCAGCAGAGCATTGCTGGGAAATATCTGTAATCTCACGAGATCTCAGGGAAAGGCTTTTCCCTTCCCTGAGATGATGTGCATGGTCACATGTCCCAGAGTTCAAGGAAGTTAAGCGAGATCCATTAACCTGCCCTTAGTTAAAATGGCCACTGTCAGAAGACTGGGGAAAAAAGAAACATAAGGTATACAAAGAATACGAAGCCGGAAACTATCTAGAAGTATGTGTTTGTAGATTGTCATCACTAAATATTTCTAAAGGTGCCTTTGCTGCTATAAGATATGGGTAACTCCTAAAGGAGTTCTTTTCTCTCTCATGTAAAATATATCAGTAAGTAATGATATCAATGTGCATTGATTTGAAAACTTGTATAAGTATGTGGTATAGAGCTGGAACTATATATGTCCATGGAGACAGGAACAAGTGATTATAATGTATCAGGCGGCTCTGCATCCCGTTTTACAATGCCACACAATAGTTCTGCATTACCGCTTTGCTTTACTATCCACATTTGTGAATCGGCTGTGTGGCTATCTCAGCAGTTGTTCATGAATAAAAAAATGTAATTGCTCTGAGCTACTGGGAGCCCCCTCTAGTCTTTATGGTAATTGCAATAACTATGAAATAAACACAATTATGGAAGGGCGTTATGGAAGTCGTACCAAATCTATTTGAAGCTAAACACTGCAATAATAACTAAAAACAATTAGCTCACTGAAAAAAAACGATACTTTCCCATAAGAGCCGGTTTACACAACAAAGTCCGCTTTCCAGAGTGTTCGGCCTCTGGAACGCAAGCCGGCCGGCTCCCTGCGTTCAGGGGCTGGAGGGGGCGTGGCGGTGCATTGAAATCAATGGTACCGCAGGCATGCTGATCGCCCGCACCCAAAACGCAGGCACATTGGTCCAGTGCGATCTGCAATAATAGTGCTTGGAGTATTTTTGCAGATAGCACTGGACCGAAACGCAGGCACTAATGTGCCTGCGCTCCGAGTGCGGGTGATCGCACTGCAGTGGGGGGCGTGGCTGCTGTGCCATTGACTTCATTGACTGCCATTGTTTGTTGGCGTGCAATAGATGAAAATAAAAGACACTACATTTAAACATGAAGCTGAAAAAATTATGTATTTTGGCTCCTACAGTTAAAAAAAATGCAAATCAACAAATCAACACAACAGGTTAACTAAAATCCTATGTCAATCAAGTCAAGTGCATGTAAAGGTCATTGTGCAAAGTGCAATGCAAGTGGTGCGAATCCAGCCTATAGTATGAATCAATAGTGGTCCAGACAGCAGGGGGGGGAGCAAGCGAACTGTCTTCTACTACACAGACCCATAGCACAGTGAGGGTAGGTGAATCTCAAGATATGCGCATTAACATACACATTATTAGACAGGTAAAACAAATCCAGTATGTGCATGTCTGCTGTGTATACAGTTGGCAATCCAGTTGTGCTTAATTCTTAAACTAAAGCCGCTTGTGGATTTTGCAAGCATTGAATTGCATTCTATTTCCACAAATTAAATTACAAGATCAGGATATCCAGTATACTGAACAAAAGAGCTTTATATCTTGTTGGGTGGTTACATAATCTTCAGCTGAGAACTCCTGTGTGATTATTGGAATACAGCGTGGTTAATCTATACATGCTACATTGTATATCGCACTCCTGGCAGTGCAATTTGCATTAAAATGCTTATATTCGATTCAACGGGAGCTGGCAGTTTCTTGCAGCCACATTTAACCGCTTCTGCGCCAGAGCCTTGCATACTCACCGCTCTGGTTACTGAGATGAACCTGTCGTAGCTGATCAAGACGATGTTAAAAACTGAGGAGGTGCACAGTAAGTAGTCCAGTACAAGCCACAGTTTGCAGACGCTTCTGCCGAAGCTCCATCTGCCAGTGAGGACGTAGGGAACATAGAGGGGGATGCACAGAGCTCCTGCAACGAGTAAGAGAAATACAAATTAAACAAATGACAACGCACATTGCAGTTTGGTTGTACAATATATTACTCAATATTACACAATGTATTAAGCCCAACTCTGGGCTCCACCCACCCAAAATTCCCCCCTTCCAGAAGCCCCCAGCAGTATTTTTTTTATACTTACCTCTCTAGAAGTCTTCATGCCAGTCATGTGGTGCACAGGGTACTCTTCCTCTTATATCCTGGCTGTTGGTAGTCCTCAGTGATGCAGAGAGCGGTGCTGATGTGACGACACTGTGAATGAAGGGCACCCTAATGAAGCCACCTCAGGGGTCAGATCCGTGATGCCCTGCACTCACAGTATGTCCTCAGTGATCCGGCTTGAATGACACTGGACTTCCTTCAACTAGGAAGACTGAGGACATCTTATGGAGAAAAGCTAGTCCTGCCCGGGACAACAGCAAAGGAGAGGGTGACTTTTGCAGTCTGAGCTGCTTTTTACATTTTATGAATGCTTGTGCTACTTTTTTAAAACATTTTTTTAAGTGGGGGTGGGACTGTATAGTCTTTTCAATGTAATTTTTGTAGATACATATAAAAGAGATCAAGTTTTAATGTTCTAACTAAATAATGTTGTCACTGTGCTAATGTTTTAAAAACCTTGTCTCTATGTATAGTTTGTGATTATATATGTGCAAAGGGCACCCATAGTTGCTTGTTATATGTACATTGGCTCTGCTTTCTGCTGTGCGGTGATACACAAGGGTCGCACTGTACCGCAGAGAACGAGAACTTGCAATGAGCCGCTGAGAACTCCCTCTAGTGGCCAATCTGCATATCTTGATATTTAACGCAATTCCAACACTATGGAGAGGAAGCATATGCAAAATTAATTTAGAGTACCCCTATAACAACACAAGTTATGTAATCGCTCATTTCATTTTTGCACCATTCAACCTTAACTTTGTAGATTGAAAAACAGATTGTAAAGTGTGTGATCAGCTTTAAAGAGCAAAGCAGCATCGGCTATAAGAGCAATGCAGCATCGGCTATAGAGCAAAGCAGCATCGGTTATAAGAGCAGAGGAGCATCGTCCATAAGAGCAAAGCAGCATTGTCCATAAGAGCAACGGAGCATCGGCTATAAGAGCAAAGGGGCATCAGCCATAAGAGCAAAGGAGCATCGGCTATAAGAGCAGAGGAGCATCCGCCATAAGAGCAAAGGAACATGGGCCATAAGAGCAAAGGAGCGTAGGCCATAAGAGCAAAGGAGCATCGGCTATAAGAGCAAAGGGGCATCGGCCATAAGAGCAAAGGAGCATCGTCCATAAGAGCAAAGGAGCATCGTCCATAAGAGCAAAGCAGCATCGGGCATAAGAGCAGAGGAGCATCGGCCATAAGAGCAAGGGAGCATCGGCCATAAGAGCAAAGGAGCATCGGCTATAAGAGCAAAGGAGCATCGGCCATAAGAGCAAAGGAGCATTGTCCATAAGAGCAACGGAGCATCGGCTATAAGAGCAAAGGGGCATCAGCCATAAGAGCAAAGGAGCATCGGCTATAAGAGCAGAGGAGCATCTGCCATAAGAGCAAAGGAACATCGGCCATAAGAGCAAAGGAGCATCGGCTATAAGAGCAAAGGAGCATCGGGCATAAGAGCAGAGGAGCATCGGCCATAAGAGCAGAGGAGCATCGGCCATAAGAGCAAGGGAGCATCGGCCATAAGAGCAAAGTGCATCGGCCATAAGAGCAAATGGGCATCGGCCATAAGAGCGAAGGAGCATCGTCCATAAGAGAGAAGGAGCATCGTCCATAAGAGCGAAGGAACATCGGCCATAAGAGCAAAGGAGCATCGTCCATAAGAGCAAAGGAACATCGGCCATTAGAGCAAAGGAGCATCGGCCATTAGAGCAAAGGAGCATCGGCCATAAGAGCAAAGGAGCATCGTCCATAAGAGCAAAGGAACATCGGCCATTAGAGCAAAGGAGCATCGGCCATAAGAGCAAAGGGGCATCGGCCATAAGAGCAAAGGGGCATCGGCCATAAGAGCAAAGGAGCATCGTCCATAAGAGCAAAGGAGCATCGTCCATAAGAGCAAAGCAGCATCGGGCATAAGAGCAGAGGAGCATCGGCCATAAGAGCAAGGGAGCATCGGCCATAAGAGCAAGGGAGCATCGGCCATAAGAGCAAAGGAGCATTGTCCATAAGAGCAACGGAGCATCGGCTATAAGAGCAAAGGGGCATCAGCCATAAGAGCAAAGTGCATCGGCCATAAGAGCAAATGAGCATCGGCCATAAGAGCAGAGGATCATCGTCCATAAGAGTGAAGGAGCATCGTCCATAAGAGCAAAGGAACATCGTCCATAAGAGCGAAGGAGCATCGTCCATAAGAGCGAAGGAGCATCGTCCATAAGAGCGAAGGAGCATCGTCCATAAGAGCGAAGGAGCATCGCCCATAAGAGCGAAGGAGCATCGTCCATAAGAGCAAAGGAACATCTGCCGTAAGAGCAAAGGAGCATCGGCCGTAAGAGCAAAGGAGCATCGGCCATAAGAGCAAAGAAGCATCGGCCATAAGAGCAAAGGAACATCAGGGGCATCTGTACCCAATTACTTTGTGGCAATATTTATCAGTTAGCAGAGTATATATTGTTTCACTGCTCACAGAACTCCAATCCTGATTCCAAACAGCTTTGGGAACTCCGGGTGCAGACCATATGAGTCCATGTGCGCTCTGCAGCACTTCACAAGAACAAGAAACTATCACATCTCCGGTATCATCACTTAGAATAGAATTTTGATCCATATAAGTCCATGTTGCAGTGCCCACCTAAGCACCGCAGTGGGGACTGCGACATGGACTCGTATGCACCAAATAAATAATTATTCTGAGCGATGATACCGGAGATGTGACCGTTTCTTCTTCTACTAAAATATTTATTGGTTGTTTGACAGGTTATAGCAGAACAGCGACAATATGGCCATGTATAGGAGGTTATGGCTTTACATGGCTCACAACCATTCTTCAGTTATTTCCTTTCTCACATGCCCAGGGATTTTGTTTAAGTGATTCTAAAGGGAAACATGTTTTTTAGCTATAGCAAATGCCGATTAAATCACTTACAGTGGATAGCGCTTCTTAAAGTTTAAAGGTTTTGGCTTCCTGAAGAAACAGCTGGTCCCCTGAGCACTGGCCCCTGATATCATGTTTTACTGGAGACAAGAAAAGGCGGAAAGAATAAATAAAACTAATTTAGAGGGAAAAGTTGCAGATGAGATAGATGAATGTTTAGGAAGGTGGGGACTCGCCCTGCCATGGAAAGCCTCAGAGGAGGGAAAGGAGGGAGACTCTAGACCAGCAGGACCTACAGGTGCATAGGTCATGCTAGATGTATGTCAAGCCAAAGCCACTGAGAAGCAGTAAACCTGATCCACACAATTACCTGGATCTAATTTAATATCATCTTTCTGTCTCTGTATGGCAGAGCTCAGCCTAGGAGAGGGAGCAGACGCACAATAAGCCATTAAGCAGTGCTCATGTGCTAACAAGCAACACTCAGATGGGAGGAGAGTGCAGAATAACAGGGAGATGAGCTCTTCAGTCTGCTGCTTCTCTTTTCACTGTCCAATCACAGAGTAGGGAGCAGAGAGAAGAAATGTTCGGGCTACTTAACTGCAGCAGGGAACCATCAGGTACCATCCCCTGACAGATGGGGCCGTGCTGTGTGGAAGAGCTGTGTAAATCTCAGAACTGTATGGGTAGAAATGCAAATCCTTTGGCAGGTAAACCAGCTCCATTATTTCTTCTGTGTATTTATCTGTATGCCTAGAGTGCAGCTTTAAAGTGCATGTGCCAAAGCAAAGCCATGAGTCAGGTGTGACTGCTATTGTAGGACAAGTTGATCCTGCAGTTTAGAACATTTTCCTACGCAGGGGTGGCCATACACGGTCCAATAAATGCAAGAAAGGCAATCAGTTTTGAATATTTGGTCCACCTAGGGCTAAACAGCAGACTGTATGTAGAGCGCTGGTAAGCAGCTACTTCTTTTTGCACACAGGAATGTTCTAACATGCTATAAAATATCTGCAAACAATCACTGAAAAGGAAACAAACCTTTCACTGCTATTGGATAATTTGCAAGGAGAGATCTCATCAGCCTCTGATGAGATTTGGCTCCAGTAAAGGTGGACAGACCTCTCAATGAATGCTGCTCTGCGTGACAGATTGGTCTATGTATGCCCGCCGCCCACGAAAAGGATGCCCCCATGTGTCTTTAATGCTGATATCAACGTTAAGACCTGTGTAAAGCAAACCCAATTATTTTTGCATCACACATTTTATTTACGAACCTTCTGGATCCAGAATTCTACTTGACAAGTACAGCCAAAAGTGAAAATGACATTGATAATTAACCCTGTCAGAAATGATTTGTAAGAAATAGCTCACAAGCCAGAGATGGCCAGGGATATAAACTGTATACTCCCCTACACTTTCTGCAGGAAAATCGGTTTCTCAGGAAGGCTGCGTATCTGTATAGGACCAGGATGGTAATGACCTGGAGAGGAAATGGTCCATTTTGTCATATTTACTAAATCGTCACAAGTGCGGCAGCCTTCCAAGGACTTTTAGAAATGCACATTGAGCGACAAAAAGGAGACAAAAACAAAATAAAACACTGAGCTTTGGTCCTTTAAAATAGTTCAAGTAGGGCTTACGTAGAGTTTAGGCTGAAGAGCTTGCACATCTCCTATGTGGGTTGGGTAACCATCTACTATGTCATGCTTGACAATGTCTTATCTCCTTCACAGCAATGTTGTTGTAACCTTCAAGCTACAATATGGAAACTTTATTTTTATAACATCAAATTATTTTATTTAGGAGCCTTGATATTTAAAGAATTCCTCAATTTTCCCCTGGTGGCTAACCTGCAGGTTACTACCCACACGATACTTCTACCGACAGGCTGCTTGGTTAGTACTGAGAAGCAGCTATGAGGCTGCCACTGTTAAGCCGTGCTCGGTTTTCTTCCTTGCAATGCAGCCCATTGAAGGAAGAAGTAGGGGGATGTACCCACTGGTACTTTTTCACGGTAAATTAAAGCTATCTATATATATATATATATGTTTTGCAGTGCATTGAAGGATACATATAGCTGATATCCTTAACTTTATGAATAAAACATATTTTTTGGGTTCTTTACCCTTAAATGTAATATATATGTTGGAGCAAATGTTTATTTATACAGTTTGGTTTGTCCAGGAGACAATTTAGAGGCAGGGATTGTGTGCAAAGTACAGTAACTCATGGGTAAGCAGCCCACTGCTGTCAAATCAGTGCAATATGGTTCTAATTGGTTACTTTGAGTCACTGCACATTGCTAAGTGTTTTTTTTAAACCGACCTTTATAGCTAGCAAGCAAATGAACATGAATCCAGCCAATGCAATGTGTTTTGTCTGTTCTTGTGAAACCTAGATTTAATTTCCATGCACATTAGAAATAAATCAAAACATCTAAAGAGAAAGTTCCCGAGATATGGTTTTCCTCTGGGTGTTAAAATCTCTTTCCGCAATCTGAAATTGGTTAATTGCCATTCACCTAAATTAGTTATGTCGCTGATTTCACAGAAGTGATGACATTCTGTTGGCTTTATATAAATGAACAGCATTGGATGGTTATTAGGTAAATAGATTGATACTTTACCTACTAGAAAGTCAGAGATGGCCAGATTGAGCAAGAAGAAGTTGTTTTGAGTCCTAAGGCTGGAGTCTACCACGAAAGCCAACATAACCAAAGCGTTTCCCAGAACTGTGGTGGCTATCAAGATGCCCATGAGTACAGCCAAGAATACAGTCCAGGAGAAAGCAAAGTTGCCCGGAAAGCTGGTTCCTCCACCATTGCCCTTCCAGGATTCATTGAGATGCCAAGTTTGCTGGGTGCTGGCCATTTCAGCACCACAGCTATATTAATCTCTAGGTGGAGAGCATAGTAACCATATATAAGGTCAACAAATTGGCCATCCTTAGCTTCCCATCGTAGATGGACAGTGGAACTGAACCTGGCTGTCTTGAGGTGGAGATATATGAATATCCAAAGGCATTTTTCTTTTCATGGTCCTTGCCAAATCAACTTTGGTCTGTGCAGAAGAGCCCAGCTCTTGTATGCAGTGGCTGTCTGAGAGGCTAGTTATTATCTGTCTGAGCCCATCTGCTTCTCTTACCACCTGAATCTCTGCCCCACTCCAGCAATGAAGAGACACCTCCTCCCAACATCTCTCTTGTAGAACTGAACCTCCCTCCTTCCCTTGCTCTCCCTCCCACCTCCAGCCAAAGAACCTCACACAATTCACACACTCCACAACCTCTCCGAGAGCGAGGGAGAGGAGCTTGGTTATAAATATCAGACACAATCAGCTGGAAATCAGGTTTGAAAAGAATTTGTTTAACTCAGTCCTTGCTGAACAATGTAGCGGGATCTGGCACTGCTTACAGGGGCTGTTTGGGTATTTGGCATTCACTAGAAGGGTGTCTGTTCATGTGAAAGTACAATGTTTAAATCCAATTAGAGTTTTCAATATAACCTGAGCCATTGTCAGTATGTTTGTTATATTTCTATAGCCTTGATTATTTCTTTCTTCCTTTCCCATCTGTTCTAGTGTAGTTTTTAAACAACCTAGGTGACGCTATTCAGTTTTATTTTGCCCTGTAATAAAGGCCAGCACCTGACACCAAATAGATTCAGTAAACTGGTCTTCAGAAAACATTGCAACTATAGTTAAAAAAAAGTCAATTCGGCTTACCTTTAATATTTGTTTTAAATAACCTGTTGCAGCAAGATCGAGCAGGTTTGAAATCTCATGTCACATGACTCTCGTGCCCCTTTTTAAGAACTGTATGCTGGGACTTCACCACAAACCGCTAATGTAAGGGAAAACATCACTACTGACCAAGGGACAAGTCATCACTTACCACAAATGCAAGAAGGTATTTTGACACTGACCATAAGACCTGTAAGCTGCGGAAAAATTTGGTTCGGTTTAGATAATTAGTTATTTCGGGATTCGGACCCGAAATTCGGTTCGGGTTTCGGATTTGGATGAAACCCAAACTTTCATTAGTTTCGGATAAGTTACGAACGGATATTCGTTACGACTACCAAAGAAAACCATATACAGATATTAATACTAAAGCTGAATCTCCTAGACCCGAATGGAGTTCCGTATCTGAATTTCCGAATTGCATTCAGAAGCTCCCGAATGGCATTTGGATCTGGGAGCCATATACATATATTACTAAAGCTGAGGCTCCCAGACCCGAACAGTATTCGAGAGCTCCTGAATGCAATTCAGGATTTTCGGATCCCAAATGCCATTCGTGTCTAGGAGCCTCAGCTTCAGTAATATATGTATATATGGCTTCCATGTTGCCATAACGAAAATTTGTATTCAGACCCATTTGGCTGGATTAAACCGGAAAAAACACATCTGATTGGCCAGAAAAGTCACATGTCCGATTCAATTTAGTTTTTGAACAAAATTCGGACGGGATCCGAAATTCAGAAACGTATATTTGGATTCAGATGCATACAGATGTCCGAATTCGTAACATTTGTACGAATTTTGATTCGGAACGAAACGAACATGTCTACTGACCATCCTTGTAAGGGGGCATCACTGACCATTAAAGATTTAAGGAACTTATACACACGGTAGTAAAATACTTCCAGTAATGTTTGGATTATTACATGACCTAGGTTTAGAAATGTATTTACCTAGACCAGGGGCAGACTGACAAAGCTTGGGACCCCCAGGCAATACGAGATTATGGGGCACCTTTTTCTCCGCCCATATACAGGCCACACCCACCCACAATCCCTATCCACATATACATTCTAGACTTCAGCTTTATGGTTATGTTAGGGTTGGGCCAAAAGGAATCATAAAGCATACCCTGAAATTACCAGGAAGTATCATGCGGCTGGCACTAGAGTGAAATCAATGTGCTATTCTGCGTATCTGTATATACTTTTATCTATTTCTGTTATTTCTATATGTTGCAACAAGATACAAAGCCCAGGCATAGAGATCCAGAATCACTCAAGTCTGTCTCCATTTCATTCTCAGCGCAGCTTATTAACATAACAATTACCCTTTAATATTGTAGATAATATTTGATTTGTTTTAATGAGGCAGACAGACTGGCTCTTGCATAAGGGTCCTATCCATTTCTTGCCAGATAGATATCAACTTGCCTTTTTTTCTCCCCTTTCATTATGTGTGAAATTATCTTCCATCTCGAGTACTGCAAGTTGAAAATGCAGTCTGGAGTGAGTGGCTGCATTGGGACAGACTTTCACGAGTTGATGGGAATTCTGGTGCTTGTGTTTTATTTATCGACTGGCCTCGTCAGGATCCTGCACAGACAGGCACAGGAGATCAAATCCCGAGATGAAGAGGGAGAGGGAGTAACAGGTTGAATTCCAAATTCAGGTGTGGATTCGGTCAAGTGCTTAGAATTCTTAAAGAGGAATGCTGGCCAACATTTCTAAAGTAACAGTATTGCTATAGTTCAGGTCCATTATGCTGCCCATACACTGTTGGAAATAAGTCCAAAAGCATTCATCAGAAAATTCAATGATGCCATCATTGAGTCAACTAATTGTGTTCGAAATCCCTTAAAAAAGTCTTCCCGACCTGTTACCTAAATGAAACCCCAGACGTATTATACATGTTTTTGTGCCTAACACATGCGCATTGCAATATGTACAATTTTTTCCCCGAACAAAAATCACACTCATTTTATTCGTTCAGTTAAGAAATGAGAACTTTTCCATCCTGCTCCTTCTATTTTCCTCATCACTGCAGGAGAAAATAGTGACCTCCCTTACCATTAAAAAACAGAGCAAACATTCCAAAAGCAAACATTTTAGGAGGACATTCTAGTGGTACATATCAGCTTAAGTCTTCAAGTTCATCCCTGTGGAGCCCACCTAGATTCAATGTGCATGAAGCCTGAACTTCCTGCCCGAGTTTGAGATTCAGCTTGTCCACTCCTGATTCTAGACTCTGTCCCTGTCATTCAATCTGCTGCCCCCACTTGCCCTCTACTGTCCTTATACAGGAGGATCACTATGTCTTCAGACTGTGTGTCCTGCATGCTGAGCCAATCAAGCTCCAAACTCTTCAAACACAATGAGTCACCTTTGGTGAGCAAAGCCATGTAAAAAGCTAGCATGAAAAGTAAAAGCAGACTTATCATTGAGTGATTGAATAAGGTATATTATTACCAGTTGTTATTCATGTACTCTAAACGTATATTTTCCCTGGGTAACAGTGGACCCTCTTAGGATGCATACTTTTGCTTTTTTGAAGCCTTGAAGAAGAGGATGTTTTATCACACCATAAACACGTTGAAATTTTGATTAAGAGTCTTTGTCAACAGGCTTTTGTTTAGGTCAGAACTGCTTCTCTCCCCATACAAGTCATTAAAGCAGCTCAAAGCGGGTTGATGCAGGTTAGAAAAAGGTCAAATGCAGCTCAGAATGAGCTCAACTGCAGGTCAAGTGCACCTGTCAGTCAACTTTGAATGATCTCAAAAGCCTCTCAAACTGATCTCAAATAAAAGGAGAATGCTTCTGAAAGCAAGCTGCATTTGCACAAGAACATAAGCCCTGTTGACAAAGGCCCTAATACAAACCCTTTAATATCTGATGACTGTGGGCATCCCTACTGGATCCTTTTTTTTAAAGATTTATGGAGATTACTAGAACATACACCGATCAGCCAAACCGTTATGACTACTGACAGGTAAAATGAATAACATTGATTACCTGGTTACAATGGCACCTGGAAGTGTGTGCGCTTGTGTGTGTGTGGGGGGAGATATATCAGACAGCAAGGGAACATTTTCTCCCTGAAGTTGATGTGTTGGAAGAGACAAAATGGTGAACCAGCGACAGGGTCATGGGCGGCCAAGGCTCACTGATGCACGAAGGGAGCAAAGGCTGGCCTGTGTCGTTCGATCCAATAGAAGAGCTGCTGAAGCTCAAATTGCTGAGAAAAAGTAGTATTAAGGTCTGGGCGTTTTTTTACCTTAATACATTCTCTGCATTAAGGTAAAAATGCCCAGTACCTTTTGGACTCCCCCGTCCCCCCCAGATCCTGCATCCCGAACTTCCGACCCGAACAGGGGTTTGAGGGCAGTGGTGCCATAGGCTCCTTCTGCCGTCAATCAAGCTGTGGGGTGAAGAGGAGGGGCGTGGCCTGCCGGAGGACTGTTTGTGTCTATGGACACACATGGCCACTGCGGGAACACGCACGCACGGGTGCCTCCATAGCAGCCGCTTAGCTGCTAGCGGCACCCTGCAGGGGGCTGGGCAGACACTGATGCGGGGACCCACTAGAAAATGAGGAATTTAAACATTTAAAAAAAAATAAGAACAGATTGGGGCATAATCTGTGCCAACCTTATAAACAAAACAAAAAAAAGAGGAAGGTTTAACGTCACTTTAATGCTGACTCCAATAGAAAGGTGTCTGAGTTCACAGTGCATCGCAGTTTGTTGCATATGGAACTGCATAGTAGCAGACCAATCAGAGTGCCCATGCTGACCCATGTCCACCGCCCAAAGCATCTACAATTGGCATGTGGGCATCAGAACAGGACCACAGAGCAAAGGAAGAAGGTGGCCTGGTCTGATGAATAAAGTTTTTTTTTACATCATATGGATGGCCAATTGAATGTGTATTGCTTACCTGGGGAAGAAATGGCACCAGGATGCACTATAGGAAGAAGGGAAGTCAACAGAGGCAGTGTGATGCTTTGGCCCATATTCTGCTTGGAAGACTAAAACAGGCTGAATAACATGCATGTAATGTCAAACATGTAATTTTTGGAAATGTTTACAGTAGTTTTTTTTTTTAAATACATAGCTGTAAATGATAATAATGACTGTTTTTCATGCGCAGCATTTTTCTTTTTAGGTTTACTGGTCTTACAAGCCTGTCAGCAATGGATGGCTACGCGACGCGCATTTTTGTAGAAAGTGGTTGAAGATTGGCATTCATTGAGATTTGTTTACATTTCCTGAAGACGACGGCCTGAACAGCTGTTGACTGACAAGGTAATTTTTCCAGCTTCAGTACAACCTTCTATCATTGGGTCGTGTCTCCTTTCAGATTCATCTCTTCTCTCTGCTGAAGAGATTTTAATATCCCCTTAACAAAGACCACAAATAATCAGCTCCATATATAATGT